CCACCCCGCCCCGCCCCGCCAGACGCGACCCCCTCAACTTGTCCGATGATGTTGCAGGTGCCCCGCTGCCGCCGTCCAACTGCTCTATGGCGCGTCTGCTGACCCCGGCCGGGGTCCCCCGCCCCGCCGAGATCCGCGAGAGGACACCGCCGTGGAGCTTCGGGGCCGATCTGCAGCCCCCACCGCCGCAGCAGCCCGCCACCCTGGACCAGCACGAGGACGGCGTCGACGGCCATGCGGGGACGCTCCGGGTGGACTGCCGCGCCCCGCCGGCCTCCGGGCTGCCGGAGCACTTCCAGCTGCACCTGCTGCGTGAGCCGCTGGCGGTGCTGCGCTACAACCTGACCCTGCCCGGAGGCGCGCCGCCCGTCTGGGAGCTGCCCTGGGCCCCGGAGCCCGGCGCCACCTACTCGGCCCGGGTGTACGCCGTCAACGCCAAGGGCAGGTCCGAGGCCACCGTCTTGGAGGGAGGCCCGCTGCGCGGCGCTGACCCCACCGCCGGTGAGTACTTTCGCCCGTCTTTACACAAACGGTGTTCACTACTTTAGTTATTCAGACGTCATCGTACCCAAACGGAATGGCTGTTGTTGACTGTCCTGGAATGAGCTAGCAGTTCGGTCTCTTAAGCAAGCCCGCCGCTGGGAGTACGGGTGCGCGCGAGTTGAGTCACTACTGTGCCAATAGCAATGGATCCTCGAGGATCCTGCGATCGCAGCGGGTTAATTAGGTACACCGCAAATCTGAACAAGTTCAACACTGAAAACGGTGAAACTTACAAGGTTTAAAAGGTTGCGTTGTTGCACAGTTTGCGCTTTGCTTAGACTGGCAGAGTATAGAGCTCGTCCTCTCCGCGCGTTCAGCCTCGCAGCGCGGCGATGTCTGTCACGGGGTTGAGACGTTGATCCGCCCCTCGCCCGGCCCCGGCGCAGCTCGTGGCCACGGCCGGCTGGGTCCCCTCTCCGGGCCGCTCCGGGTGCCGGAGGCGCTGGTCGGACGGCAGCCGGAGCGGCGGCCGGAGCCAGATAACGCGGGGCGGTGCGGTGACCGCGGCGGTGACCGCATCAGACGCTGTTACGCCCGTAATCTCGTCGGGCCGTACACACCGAGGTCGCCGCGCACAAGCAGGTCTCGTGAGCAAATCCCAAATTGTTCCGAGCAGAAACCCGACATACATGCGAATAGCGCAGCGGTGAGTTGAACTCATTCTTGTCCGAGGCAGTCTCCGCCGCTCCGCATCGCAAGAAATGAAACGCAGTGCGTAAACCGAGCAGACAACATTTCTACGAAAGCGCCGCTCGTGCGGCGTCGCTCTGCTTCAAGAGGGAAAAAAAGCAGTACGAAATAGACTTTCCCAGATTTCTTTTCGTTTGATGCGAATGCAAAGAGTTTGTCAGCATCACTCTCGAAAGCCCCGACGCCCCTGACGACCCCTCTGCTGCTCCCCGCCTTCCCACCCAAAGCAACCTGTCCCCGCCCCGCTCCGCTCCGATGAACTGCACGGCAGAACGCAACAGCGAGGCCGCCGGGCCATTGTGGACGGACGACGCTGGCTGGAGTCTTGGCGGACGAGTGTCCCCCGCCCAACCCCCTCCCATCCCCTCTCCCATCCCCCTCCCCGCCCCTCCACTCCACTCTCTCCAGTCTGGAGGCTCCAGCCAAAGCCGACATCAAAGCAGCGCACTCCTGCAGATGGCCTTTCAAAACTGAGCGGCTGGGGGGCGCGCGGGCCTTCCAAAAGCTTGGCCGGCCGGCGGTGCCAAACATCACCGAGGTGTACATGTTCACGGACTTATTTTTGTTTCTATTCTGATTTTATCATTTAACTCAAAGACTGTAGAATTCTTGGTTGATCCGCAGCGTAGGAGGCCGGAGGCCGCCCCCCCCCCCTCCCGCACCATCACATTCCCCTCTGCAAACCTCCACTCTCATTTCAGCTCACTGCCGTTTCTTCTCGGCGGGGGTGCGAGGCCCGGAGCGAGGCTACAACACGAGAGATAATGGCGGCGCCGCCGTCGCGACGCTAGCCTCACAGAGGGCCC